GAGCAAATTCAGACCTCGAGTCGAACACCCTCGAACTGATCGATAGCAAAGAAACAATTTAAAAAATATAACAATCTGATGAACAAGAATATAAACTGAAAGTAGTGTATTTCTTTGATATGCGTGAGTGTGAGGTGTTTACAAAATTATTAGGACTCTCTCACTACTAGAAAAATATTAATTTATGACCGAAATTTGTGACTGAATATATAATGATCGCTAATGCGACTAAATTTGTGACTGCAATAGTCGGAAACTAATTTTAATTTTATAAACAACGCAGGAATTTCGAGCCTTCACATTTACGACCGATTCAGCCGCAAAGTAAAAAGTCAAAAATATGTGACCCAATAAAACTGACTGCGTCGGTCGGAAATATAGAATTTAAACAAAAAAAAAATATATATTTGACACTTTGCGACCGCAGTCGGAAAACCAAATTAAAAATTAGACACTAGATCCCTATTTCCCCAATTTCTTTCACGATCTGTCTCTCTCTATTTTTCCTCTCTACTTTCTCTTCCACTGACCTATCGACTGACGGCGGCAAACAGTGGTTGAAGACGGCAGCAAACGGTGGTTGACGACGGCAGGCATCAGTGCGAAGATCTGTGAAATCCCCTCTTCTCGGTTGGTTTTTCTCATTCTTATAACCTAGAAACTTTGTGAGTTTAGTCATCTAGTAAAAATTTCGAATTTCTTAACAAATAATTTCACTTGCATTGGTATTTATCAGTTAAAGAAGTAAAAAACATTCTGTAACTTTGCTTTATTTCTGTCTTTGTTTTTACGTTTCTCTTGCTATCACACTATAATTGTGGGTTAATTTGTACTTGGATTTAGATTCTCTATTTTACTGTGTTATGTGTGTTTTCCTTTGCTATTTATGTGTATTGGGTATTTCATTAGGCAATGCCTCTACTAAATCGAAAATTAGTATGACTATAAGAATAATTGCACGACAATTTATGTTGTTGTTGGTAATTGGTTTAATCCTACTGGCTAAGTCAACCACAAGTTGACCTAGTATACTAGAGCAGCACATTTGCCCTGAGGTTTAATTGTTTGGTTCTGTGACTTTGGAAAATAGTTGGTTATAAATAATTTTTGGTACTATTGTTGGATAGGTCTTAGGGAAGCATTGTTAGCATTGTTGCTGAGAATGTGGAAGACAAGATCGATGCTTAAAATTGGCCGAGGAGTAGTTGGGAAGACGAAAGCATGAAAAACACAAAGGGGGTGAGTGATATTTTTAAAGGTAGATACAATAACAAGGTTTAATTGTTTGGTTCAGCACATTTGACCTTCCCTAAGACACATGAACGAATAGTTTTATACTCCTTTTATCCCTATGTATATAAATTCTTCCCATTTTTGAGATTCTCCAGTAAAGAGATTTTACTGTTTCAAGAGGCGGCTTGGCTTACTGTACAATGATGGATAATACTACCATATCAAGGTGAAATGACTCAAACTCATGGCCATCTATGCCTCTAAAGTTTGATACCATCTCACTAGTAATACTAATATTATTCTATATAATTTTCACAAACTTGTAAAATGTAAATTTATTAAAACTGGCTGAAATTTCAATGTGATGCTTAAAAATTTAATAATGATATAAAATTTTCTTGTCTCACTACTAAGATAATAAAGAATATAAAAAAGAAGTCAAATTTACATTTTAAAATTTTTGTGTAGTCATGTTAAGGTACTATACAATATCGAACGAAATGTGTTAAGCAAATCCTGTCTTATCTTAATTCTAAGTTTAGCCACCAATATAAAATAACAAGCAGGAAAGTTTACAATGCTTCTCTATATAAGGACTTATCTCATTCATGTGCTTCCTCCGACTGACCTACTACTAATTAATCAGACTTTCTATATTAATGGTACATATATTATATTATTGTGTGTGTATTTCGGCAAACATGTATAATTGTATATACATTTATATATAAAATATGATTTACTTAATATGGCGATGGTCCATACTTGGCATAATACTAAGTAACATTGTTTTAAATATCTTGGATTTATTTTGTGTAGATGGAGCTTGCACATCGTAGATGGATGTATAATCGAACTTATCCTAATCGTAGTGGGTTGAGGGAGGAATTTATAGAAGGGGTCGCTGAATTTATGGCTAAAGCGAAAACACTTCATGAATTTCTCAGTGAAGGGGTGATTAGGTGCCCTTGTGTGAAATGCAAGTGTGAAAAGTTATTGCAACCTGATGTTGGTAATATTCATCTTTGTAAAAAAGGCTTTATGGAAAATTATTATGTATAGACTATTCACGGAGAGGATGTTGCTAGTGTTGGTGTTGTCGATTTTCAAAAAAATTTTGGTAGTGAGGGTAGTCCTTTAGCAGAGAATAATGTTGAAAATTCTCGATTCAATGAAATGGTTAGGGATGCTTTTGTGATGCACCCGGGGGCTCAGTCTGAACCAAATGATGATGCTAAGTGCTTCTATGAACAGTTACAGGAAGCTGGTCGTCCATTGTATGAAGGCTCAATACATTCTAAGTTGTCTGTTGCGGTTAGACTATTAAGTATTAAATCAGATTCGAGTATTTCCCAAGCGGGCATGGACTCTATCATTGACCTTATGAATGAACTTAATCCGAATAAAATTGACCTACCCAAAGATTTCTACACAGCAAAGAAACTGGTTTCTAAGTTAGGACTTTCATCCGAGAGAATTGAATGTTCTGAGAAAGGTTGCATGTTGTTCTATAAGGATGATGCAACTTTAGAAAATTGTAAATTTTGTAACCAACCTCGTTACAAGGAAGTCACAAATTCCAAAATGAAGAATAAGGTTCCAGTAAAGCCGATGCATTACTTACCCTTTATACCTAGGTTAAAGAGGTTGTATGCATCAATGAGCTCCGCTCCTCATATGAGATGGCACTATGAAAATAGACGGCCACCCGGTATTTTATGTCATCCGTCAGATGGAGAAGCATGGAAGCATTTTGATAGGGTGTTTCCGGATTTTGCTAATGAACCAAGAAATATTAGGTTGGGTTTATGTGCAGGTGGATTCACTCCATTTTCTGTCTCGGCTGCACCATATTCATGTTGGCCGGTGTTTGTTACGCCGTATAATCTTCCTCCTGAGTTGTGTATGACAAGTCCATATTTGTTCCTAACCTGTATTGTTCCAGGTCCACGCAATCAGAAAAGTTTGATTGATGTATAGATGCAACCTTTATTGATGAGTTAAAGTTATTGTGCCATGAAGGTGTGGAAACATATGATATATCAACTAAACAAAACTTCAGATTGCGTGCTGCTTTGATGTGGACTATAAATAATTTACCTGCCTATGGAATGTTGTCCGGGTGGTCGACTGCGGGAAAGTTAGCTTGCCCAACTTGTATGGAAGACACAGAAACATTCACGTTGAAACATGGAGGAAAGAACACATGGTTTGATTGCCACCGTCAATTCCTGCCTAGGGATCACGAGTTTAGGAAAAATACTAGTGCATTCATGAAGAACCAAACTAATTTTGAGGAGCCACTGTCACCATTGTCGCCAGAAAAAATTTGGAACAGAGTTTGGTCTCTACCTAAGGTAATAGAGTCTGCAATGTCTAATAAGATATCTGGTTATGGTGTTACTCATAATTGGACTAAACAGAGCATATTTTGGGAGTTACTAAGCATAACCTTCTTCGGCATAATCTGGATGTCATGCATATCGAGAAAAACTTTTTGACAACACATTTAATACTGTAATGGATGTCAATAGCAAGACAAAAGATAACTCAAAGGCTAGGATGGACTTAAAGGAATATAATAGACGAAGTGAGTTGTACCTGACATACATGATAAACAAGATTCAGAAGCCCAAGGCCAGTTACACATTCACTTTCGATGAGAGAAGAGATATTTGTGATTGGGTTAAGAATTTAAGGATGCCTGATGGATATGCGTCAAACTTATCTAGGTGTGTTGACATGAAAGAAGGGAAGTTGACGTCTATGAAGAGCCACGATTGTCATATTTTCCTTGAATCATTGATGCCTATTGCGTTCAAAGCCTTACGTGATAGAATATGGAAACCCATTACTGAGATAAGTTTTTTCAAGGAGTTGTGTTCTAGCACATTGAAGGTGGAGAACCTAGCTTACATGTAGAGTAACATTTGCTTAACTTTAAACAAGCTGGCAAAAATTTTTCCTCTTGGATTTTTTGATGTAATGGAACATCTTCCAATTCATCTTGCGCAAGAGGCCCGACTTGGAGGGTCTGTTCAGTGTAGATGGATGTATCCTTACGAGAGGTAATGACTTTAAATTATTTTCCCTTGATGTGTTTTAATTAAACATTAATTCATCTAAAAATTATGATATGCAGGACTATTGGAAAATGTAAGTGGAACGTGAAAAATAGATCCAGGATTGAGGGATCGATATGTGAGGCACATCTGGCTAAAGAAACTTCTTTTTTCTGTTCATATTATTTTGAACATGATGTGCCATGTTTGAGAAATATGCCAAATCGGCATGATGATGGAGGTGTTTTTGATCGAGCCGCGTGCTTCTATGACATATGTAAGATCCTAACAACAAGATTCTCAAGTTTCTTCTTTTGGTTTTGCATTGGGATAACACTTAGTCTGATTCTTACAAGATTAGCACAAAAAACTCTTGTGAGTTAAACAATTAGTAATCAATGAATTTAACATCTTTCAGTTGGTATTTGTTTAAGTATTTCCTTAAAAGTTGTGTGAAATAGCAACTGTATGATTGCATGAGCAAATAAGGAAT